TAAAATTAATGATTTCTTTTAGGTGAATAGATAGTTATTAGGATGATATGAAAATCTCTTTTCAGAAAGCTTAGGGAAGGATGGGCCAGGGATTTAGCTCAGCAGCACTATGCACCTCACAAGCCCAAGGCCCTGAGTTCAATCCCCATACCCCCCCCAAAAAAGAAAGAAAGAAAGAAAGAAAGCTTAGGGAAGGAGAAACATAATCATAATACTAGGAACCATTGATTGGTTCCTCACTTTAGGAGAGGTACTAGTAAATGTTAGCTAAGGGCTTTTGCATATTTTACCATTTTCATCTTCACAACCCTATCAAAGATACCATTATAATTTGTATTTATAGGAGCCCCAGGTTTGAGCAACCTGCCCAGAACAGCAATTCGGCCCCACAGCAAAAGTTTTACATTAAAAGTCAGAGCTAGCAGCTGTATAAAAATAATCTTGCACCTGACAAAATTAAGTTATGTTCAAAGCAATATTTTAAGAGGTCTGAAGACAGAAATAATATCACACTGATTTAGTAAAGGATTATCAAGAGAACCTGAAGTGTACCCCCTATTTTTAGTATCAAATGGTTTTAAAAAATTCGTTAATGAGCTCATTTTGTTTTCTTAGTGCATATTTGTAAGTCTAAATCAAAAGTAAAATTAATAGATTAGTAAGAAGAAAGGTATGTGTGGTTATTTTTAGCACAGTGGATTAAGGCTTACTCTAATTACTGGCACTCAGAACATCTCAAAGTGCCTATTCTTATATTCAAAACACATGACTTTTCTGCAGTCAGCTAAATATCAGCTGACTGTGAGTGAATGGAGCTAAACTGTTCTCAATAGCTACTGGTATGTCATTAGAAATTCTTTTGTTAGTAAAGAAAATCAATAAGTACCCTTCAACAAATTCTCAAGCTGGTAATGTGGGAATATGTGTATTTTAAAATTAATTCTAAAAGATTTTCATCCAATGCCTGTTCCATAAAATGCTGTACCAAATAGGACTCAGAAAAGCATACAATGTTTTGTCAAGAGATCTTCAAGAGCATTTATTCCAGGGACAAAGAAAAAAAGCAAGTGACTTGTTCAAAGTCACAAAGCCTGCTCTATGGCATTCAAAGGGACAGAATTCAAGCCCTGAGATTTTCTGTCTTTACAGCTGCATTGTCATTATCTCCCTACCTTTCCTTCTCTGAAAGAGGAAATCTATCTGTATGCCAAACCAGAATGAAGAATGTGGATGAGAAAATTTAACAAAGACATAAAAAGCTAGTCTTGGCAGCTCATGCCTGTGATCCCAGCACTCGGGGAGGCTAAGGCAGGAGGAGAATCACAAGTTCAAGCCTGGCCTGGGCAACTTAGTGAGAACTAATCAGAAAGGGAAAGGGAAGGAAAATGCTTGGTGATATGAATATCAAGAGTGCTAGTTCAGAATTTCTCAGAAGCTAAGCTATACACTAATTCTCTGGCTTTAGGGGGTCTTTTCTTTCAGAGGGAGCATGAAAAACAAATCATCTGGTAATAGCAACAAAAATACGTCATTGTGCGGTATGTAGATGAGTTTTCAATATGAAATGGGCAGGGGAGAAGCACACAAAAAACATGTATACATACCATGTTTTGTACATGAGAATTTTTCAAGTCTACCTTTTATTTAAAGCAGCTTTGATGTAAGTATTAGAATCTGGTTAAATTTCCTTTTGTAACTTAAAAAAAAAAAAAAAAAGCAGTGGCCCAAGGAGGACAGGCTGGAGAGCATGTGTAGGGACACCAATCAGTCCTTTCCTTTCTTCCTTTTAACAGCCCATTCACAGCCTTGATTCCCTTGCTAGTATTTTCCTCCTCCACATGGGGGACTCCTTTCCCTATCTAGAAATAGGTTTAAACTTCACTTTTTTTTTTTTTAACCCTATGGATGGTTGCCGCTTCTTCTGTCCAACAAATCTCCCTAAAATTGTCTACATATGCTATTTAAATTCCTCTACCTCTTCATGCTTTCCCCCATTACATCAAGAGTTCTGCCTTTACTACTCTCCATTGAAAATGTTCCAGTAAAGGGCTTTTATGAAATGTTCACAATAAGACTGAATATTCTTCCTTTACTTTCACGTGACATGTGGCATGAGAGATCTTCCTCAGACAGAAGCTCTCTGCCTCCCTGATTTTTACTGACCCAGCACTTACTCTTTGGTTCTCATTCTACTCTGCGGGTCCCTTCTTTATTCTCTTTGCCTGCTGCTTGTAGGGCTGGTTATCTAACACTTTCTGCCTAGTTTTCCCCAGAATTGCATGCCTGTGCCCATCAGACCCCTTCAGAAAGCCAGCCATCTCTTAATGAAAGTCACACAGCATCCCAATGTCAGCTCACTGGAAAGGAGCCGAGTTCTCTAGCTCACCATTTACCCCATCAGCCAAACAAGAAATGTGCTCACGTTTTCCTTCCTCTTTGGCTTTTCTCCTCACTTCTCTTATCCAACTTCCACAGGTAACAGCTTTCCCCTCCAGACTCTTGGTTTAGGACCTCATCATCCCACAGCCTCCTCCTGGTTTGGCAGGTACCATCTCAGTTCCTTCCGGAACCACCCACTGTCTTACAGGAAACTTTTAAGCAATGCACACTAGAACTGTATTTACCCCTATGTCAAATCTTTGACAGTAAGATATGTCAACCACTAGCATATGATCTTGGACAAGCCACTTCCCAAATTCTCATTGTGTCTAAAATTGCAATTTGGTCAACAACAGTGTTTTTCACGAAGCCAAGTGAGCAGGGGGACAGAAGACTCCTCCCTGATTTCCTAAGAGTAGCTGTGCTTCCATTTATTTGGTTTAGGATTCTATCCCTGGGGCGAAAAGCTTAACTAAAGAAGTTCCTGACTTGATTATTCTACGTCGTCTCTCCCAGATCTGAAATGCTATGATTTTTCTATGATATTTCTCAAAAAGTACCAAATCAAATGTTGGATACAAAAATCACCCAAACATGATTAAATTCATTCTATAATAAAGTCTATAGTATTTAGGAAACTTTCTATGTCTTATAATTTCCATTTCTGCCCCTCTACTTCTTCCACAAAAAAAAAAAAACCCCATCCATACCTGGAGTGCAATAAAGGAAAGAGAAGAAACAATTTATCTTTTTCACCTGCAAGGCATTCCATACGGTTTAGTTCTCTGCATACTCCCATACAAGAGAATTTTTTAGATGCAAAAATGCTTTTATCTTAAATTCAGTAAATTATTCAAAAGGGAACAGAAATGGGGAAGAAACAAAATAAATGTTCCTTCAAGAAATGTTCTGAGCAGGGTATGGTTGTGCATGCCTGTAATCTCAGTACTACTGGGCAAGTTAGGCTGAGACGGGAAGAAACAGCCCAGGAAACTTCTCAAGACTCATCTCCAAATAAAAAAAGAAGGGCTGGAAATGTAGTTCACAGCAAAGGCCCTCAATTCAATCCCCAGTGTCACAAAAGAAAACATGTTCTATAAAGGGAGAAATCACACTTCGTTTAACCTGCTTAAAACAATCTTGAGAAATTTAAGACGATCAAAGAGTTTCTTCAAATATTAAAAAAAAAAGATGCATACCATTTTTTAAAAACTTCAGTGTAAAAACCAATCTGTGAGTCATTTAGCAACATCAAAATTTAAAAAAAAATTATCCTTAGTAAAACTACCTATTATATCTAAGCACACCTCCACCATAGCAACAAGTGTATTTCAAATAAATAAGTAAATAAATACTGCTAATAAACAGATCCTGCATATACAGTTCTTAAACATCTGTAATGACTGAAATGGTTTATCCACCCAAGGTGCATGTAAGATTCTAAAAATTAGGTGAAAGATACATCAATCCTCAGTCGTTACTTTATGAATTTGTGGGGAGAAGGAATTAGACTCTCATTTATGCTTGCTAAATGTAAAGAATTACTCGCATAATATAATTTGCCCCTGCGATGAAGTGAATTCACTGAATTTTTCTAAAGACAAGCATGAATAATCATTTATGTCTTTATATAATTTGGTTTCAAGATGATTTCCCTGCTTTTATTATTTTAGCCTGGGTAATCAATCAAAACAGCAGTTATTTTACAATTCAAAGATTTCCTTTAAACCTATTCCACCTAAATATTTATTAATTTATTATTTATAAGTATTGTTCAAAAGTCTATTTCCCTGCTATGAGTGACCTAACATTCAATTCTGCTGCTTCATCTAGTAAATAAAATTTTACCTTTTGTAAACAATCTTCAGATCTCGCCACTCGAGGAAGCTGCACATTTTAGGTTTCCTTGCTAAAACGGTTTGAACAAGTTCTCTTGTGATCTTTTTCTTCTCTTTGTCTGACAGTGGGACATACCATTTCTGCAGTCGAAGCTTTCCCTGACGACTAAAAAGCAACATAAACTGCATCTGTTAAAGTAAATAAAATCAAGATTACATGCAGTACTTTGAATCAATAAGACTACAAATACACTACACTGTGTTTCAGAGAAGCTTCAGGGACAAGACATTAAACTGACCAAGCGATTAGTAGCCATGGATATCTTTATGCCAGTTAAAACATCTGTAAATTCTTTTAGGAAGATCTTTTACTAGATGCAAACCTTGCCTTCCCACCTCACCCAGCTCCACACACGTTTGGAGGGGAGTGTGAAAAAAAGAAAAACTGGCAAATAAGTTGGAGTAAAATCTTTAAAGAAAAAGATGACTCTGGTAAATTAAAAAACTATTTTCTACCTGTTCTATACATTCCACACTCTCCATATGCATCAAAAAAGAACCGTAGACATCAATTGGTTTAGGTACGTTTGGGAGAAACAGGAGACCTATTTTTCAGCCTGCGGCTGTTCCAGTTCCAGGGTGAATTACTTGCAGACAGACCGCTTATCACTCAGAATGCTCTCTTCAATTCATGCTAGCAAAACCAGAATGACCTAAAATATTAATCCCCCCAATAGATCTTACAAATATACGTTTTTCTTAGTCAAAACCTTTTTTTAAAGGTATGTGCTCGCCCTTAAAAAAAATCCAACGACATAATCATGTACACAATTTAGAACTGAATTAATGTATTATTATGAAAGAGACTACAAATCTTTAAAAAGCTAAAAGTTACAAATATTCAGAAACATACCAAATACTCCATTTAAAACAATAAAAGACAGCATTTACCGATGGACTGGAATGCCAAATTCGAGTGTATTTTATACATCAGCTAATCTGTATAGATTTCTTGGAGATCTGCAAGTCTGTTTATGAGTCCACTTCTTTTAAGGCAAGCATTTTGTAATTCAACTGGCCACTTCAACTACAGATAAGAATTGTTTTTACAAAGGTAATTTAAAGGTAGAATTCAGATTCTTTCTTTTAACCTTTGTAAGTTCCTTTAAAAGTGTAAATGCAAGTAATATTCAAGCCTGACTCTTAATATTCGCCACACCATCTTGAATTGGAACCTGGGGAGGGGGAGTTTATATAACCAATGTAGACTAAAATGGGCTCTAAATTTCGACTGATATCGTCGTTCTTTGCAATAACCCAAAAAAGTATCGACAAGATACTGTATCCGGAAATTTATTGACGTGGTAATTTAACTTTGTTAAAGTTAAAATTGGTTTATTACTCCACTTTATATTCTTCCGTAGCATAAAATACAGGTATCAGTGATACCAAAGTGCCTCCCACAGAAGCTCTGAAGATAGCTGCATTCGAAGAGGACAGCAAGTGTAGCATCAACTGGACATTTAATGCAAACCCGTTCCCAGAACTTAGAAAAGAATGGGGTCCTTATCCCTAGCTCTGGGTGACCCAGAGGGATGGGAGTTTGCGCGTAGAGAGAGTATGGGTTTCAGGCCGTCTCAAGCAGGGTCCGGCATCTGCCCTACACTTTGCAGGGCGAAAAAACAATGTACTCCTTGAAATAAATTATGTGCTAACATGGGACGAAACCCGACTGCGAGGCACACACATTCCTTCCTTTTCGTTGAAAGCCAACATTTTGATTTTGTCGCAAATTACAAGGCACCACAATTCCTCCAGACTGGGATTAATAACAATGGGCTCAGCCTGGGAGTGGGCTCGGGTCCAGCGTTCGTTGGGTCGGGCCGTCTCCGCTGCCTCCTCTCCCCGGGCCACACTCCCTCACCGCCCGGAGCCCCGGCGAGGTGACGGGCAGGAGCGGAGTAGACAATGGCACCCGCCGCCGCGCAGAGGGCGC